TTTTTTGGTTGCAGCCGTCATTGTTGTTTGGCGGGCCCGGGCTGGATTTGAACGCGCCACCTTAGGTGTATGTGGCTGGCACCTTAGCCACTTGAGCCACAGGTGCCGAGCCAGTATTTACAAAACTTAAATTCTGTCTCATAACCTTTGTTTTAGTGTGTTGAATAGTCAATTGAATTAGTGTTCACTGTCAGTTCTTTTGCTATATTTTATGTCTTTGCTGATTCAAGTTCATTATTTAGTAATTTTTTCAAGGGCTCATGGAAATAATTTTCCCTTGGTTCTTACATATTTAAATATGTCTCTTACCTTTATACTTTGAAAGTTGTCAAAGTCAAAATGGAGTCACTAATACTAAGAAAACGCTGACAGCCAGGTGGTGTGTCTCACTCAGTCCCAGCTACTCAGGAGGCTGAAGTGGGAGGATCACTTGGACCCAAGAGGTCAGGGCTTCATTGAGCCATGATCAAGATACTGCACACCAGCCTGGTGAGAAAGCAAGACCCTATAGCTAAAAGAGAAAAAGATCTATTTTTCATGTGGGGGATATATTGACTGGGGGATTAGAGACTGGGAGACTGGATAACTGTCATGGTAGAATGATAAATGTGGAATGAGAGAGAAAAATGGATAACTTAAAGTAAAAAAACAAAAAGCTCAGATGCCAGAAAGCTGGAGTCAAGGCATAAAAATACACGGCCACCATTTTTAATAAACCCCATTCTGTATGGAGCCCTCAAGTTCATAAACTTGTCATTTTTTTTTTGAAATGGGGTCTCATTTTGCTGCCCAGGCTAGAGCACAACAGAGTGATCATAGCTTATTGCAACCTCAAACTCCTGGGATCAAGCAATCCTCCTGCCTTAGCCTCCCAAGTAGTTAGAATTATAGGTGTGTGCCACCACACCTGGCTAATTTTTCTTATTTTTTTGTAGTGCTGGGGTCTCGCTATGTTGCTAAGGCTGGTCTCAAACTCCTGGCCTCAAGTGATCCTCTGCCTCAGCCTCCTAAAGTGAGCGAGGGCACCCATCCCATAAATTGATATTGTAAATTCCTGAATTATGAGTCCAGTTGTATTAACAATGCTGCCATGCCAGTCTTTTATATGGAAGCAAGGGCACAGGTTGGGAAAGAGAGGCTCTTGGCAATTATATATGTGCGGGGAATAGACAGAACTGAAGAACTCAGACTCCCCCAACTCCTTTAAAAAGGTTCCCATGGTGTCTCCTTTGCTTAAGGAAAATGGAATCCCGCTCTCCTGTGCTCTATGTCCTGCTATGTCTTCCCGTGACCAGGATTCAAACTCAACATGTTTAGATCAGAATCAGCAAGGGAATAATCATACCTAAAATGAGTTTTTAAATTTCCTAATGAATTTTAAAAATCGTAATAACCTGGGGAAGATAGGAGGGTGTGGATTTTAAGGGTACATGATCAAAGGGATCATAACTTCCTTTAGGAACAAACCAAATAAATTGAAATGGGCACTCAGTAAGGTAGCTATGATTATTTTTATTGGATGTTAGCAATATTTTGTAACTTCTGAGGAAAATACATTTGTAGTAACTGTCAATACATAGTATTGCCATTGCTTAATGATCACAGACATTGAAGTCAAAAATTAAAGTTTGAGTAGATGCTTTACTTAGAGATATGGCAGTTCTGAGCACCTTCCTTGGTCCTTTACCCTGAATGATTCCCGCTAGCAGATGACTTCCTCTGAAGTAGCTTAGTTTTGTCTTCCCTTTCACAAGTCATGGATGAGGATGTATGCTCCTTGGTTGCTGAAACTTTTTGAAGGTGACAAAAGAAAAGAGTTGAGTGTGTTACAGGGATGATGATATCACAAGAGCAGAAGGAACTACCCAGCCCTGCTGAGCTGATCCCCCTGAAGCCTGGTCCTGCCAGAGCTGAGTGACTCATCTCTTAGGGAAAGTCTCCACCCAAACCTCCTGCTTCAACCTTTCCTCCCTCTGTCTGGATTCAGAAACATGTAGAGATTCAGGGACACAGCCAACCGTACTAGAGACGGGATAGAGCACAAAGATTTAAAGAACCCCACATGGTCCAGCCTTTCAGATGTCAGTAAGCTTGGTGTACTAATTTAGACTAGTATTGTTATGACTCAGAAAGTATTAGATTACTTTCTTCCCTTCTCTCTAAATCTCTATCCTCCACCTCACTATCAGCTGAGGACCATCTCACTTTATTGAGAAAATGAAAATAAACAGAAGTAAACAAACTTCCTTCACCACAGTCCTCCGAGCTGGCTGCTTCTGCATCCCTGTGTTTTGTCTTCCCTCTTCACACAACGGGTAGGTCGTCCTGCCCCCCAGTT